TCCTCCTCCTTTTGCTTTTCTCTTTTCCATATAAATCTGGATGTGTGACAATTCCGCTCAAAATCTACAGTGATTCTTTGTGGCATACAGAGTACTAATAAAATTCCTAAGTCTGGCATTCAACGCATTCCATAACTCAGTACCACCCTACCTTATAATTTTCAACATACTTTATATTATGTTCTGTATACTCTATCCAGTGCATCTTGGCTTAAGCTGTTCTCAATGCTTAAAATGTCTTCCCTCCACTGTCTTACCTGCTGAATGGTTCTGATGCTCCAAACATATATTATCTGTACCATAAACCTTCTCATATCCTGACCATTTGTAATATTATTGCTATTAATTATTATTATTATTAATAACATCAATTCTCATTATAATAATATTTCATCTTTATATAATAATTTAAGGTTTTAACAGTGTTTCTATCTTAATAGTACTATAAGATAGGTAATGTCAGCTTTATTATCACTATTTTTCAACTGAAAAAATGGGAGGTTCAGACAGTGAAGTGCATTAATTACAGTTAGACAGCTAATAACAAAGTATGCTATTCTAGAGTATTTTTCAGGTAATGAGGCATAATCTAGTTATCTCTAGATAGAACTTATTTTCCCCACTAACACTAAATACCATAAAGGCAGAAACCTAAAAACAATTACCAGAATTCCCTGCACATAAGTGGTATATAATAAATGTTTTCTGAATTAAATTGAATTTGGTTCTAGAATACACAGGAAAGATTTTGGCCCACCTTACTTTTTTTTATATGCAATGCTATTTGTTGGCTCTTTTCAGTACCACATCTTGAGAATAATTAAAAACTTTTTTTAAAAATTAGCTTCAGCTTCTCTCATAATTGAGGAAAAAGAGGTAGATAAAGATATGTCAAATAAGTTATGGAAAGTTATTATAGAGTAATAGGAAAGAATGTGGTGAGCCAAAGCAGACAGAAAGATTGGAAGCTTGGCTGAAACTTAGCCTTTCCTCATATAAGAAAACAATTTGGCCTTTCACAATTGTCTTAAACAGGGAAATCAACCATATCAGCTTATGTCATCTAAGTTGAAGCTCTAAAATCAATACAGTGTACCTATTCATACCCCACCACACCCCAGTACTAAAGGATTTGTCATACAATCAGGTAAGCTTGGTAGTTGCTGTGGTTTAGAAATAATTCAACCCAGAAAAGGCTCCAATAAAAGCCTGATATTTCTTTCTCTCAGATATTTCGAAAGACTATGAAGTTATTCATAATTAAGAGTAGCAGGGTGCTTTGCACACAGGTTATTGGGTTGGTTTTTTTTTTTAGAATAATCACCAACCTAAACTTCTAACCCACCCAAACCAAAATGCATAATTCACAAATAAGCTCAGGACTTAGAACCGAGGAGAAGAGGTAAAGCCATACACATGACACCTTCTGCTTTCTCCTAATGTGCTGAAAGCATTATTCACCTGCTAATAAACCTAGGCCCTAGCTCTGATTTATTCCTAGTTACAACTGAAAAAAAAATATTATTTGTAATATACACTTCATAATAGAACATTACCTTAACAATCCAATTTGGATATCTCCAAGGTTATATTATTCTCAAGAATTTATCTGTAAACATATCTGTAATTGGCTTCTTCACCAAGCCCATAGGAAAAAATGCCTCAGACAACTTGGGCAAGAAATCTGACCTGTGGGCCAAAGGGTTTATCCAGCATTCCCTAAGTTTTTTTTTTCCTTTGGATGAAAGGAAGCTTGTGGAAAGAAAAAGATTCCAGGTAAACTTTAGGGACAAACTGAATACACCCAAGTGCTATTTAAGGTGAGGCTACCAGAGTTCACAGGGTTCACTGACATGTGGATCAGATTGATGACCAGACATAAAACAAGAGGATAACCCAAAAACATGTATCTAGGTGCAGTGAGGAATCTCAGACAAACTAAAAATGCCTTCTTGTTTCTTTTCTATGCATTCAGGTAGAAGAATAGTCTTCCCTTGTCCATAAAATGCCCTTCAATGTGCTGTTTTCCCTCTTGCCCTCTTTGAAGGTTAGGTAAGCTATACAAGTCATTGAAAAGGGGTTTCCGTTTCTTTAATTATTTTACTTTCTACTTAATCCTAATTGATTGATTGCTTTTTGTAAAAAGTAATACTCCTTTTCAAATGTGGGAGATATGTTCAAGCTCAGTTAGGGCCTAAAGTCACAGGATTAAAGAAAGGGGTAGTGTTCTTATTATCCCAAACCATTGCAAAAGTATACAGACTAAATATATTCCTAGACCTAATATCTCAAAAATAAAACAAAGAAATCAGGAAGGGAGGGAGGAAAAGAGGAAAGAAGGAAAGAAGAAAAGGAGAGAAGAAGGGAGGGAAGATGGAAGGAAAGAAGGAAGAGAGAGGAAAGAAAGAGAAAACAGGAGAAAATGGAGGAGAGAAAGGAGAGATGGGGGAGGGGGAAATACAGTGATCCAGAAATCAATATTCTGTGAGTAAAATTCAGTCTGAGTGATTTTGAGTGACAGGCTTTGCCATGCACATTTCACAAAATTAGCCACTGGAGAAAAAAGACATGGTCTAGCAAGAACCTCATGTCTCTGCAGTAGCCTTGCAGGAATGTTTGTACTGTATATATGCAGTGACCATTGCGATTTAGCAAATACCTGAACTCAACCACATAATCTCTCCCTTGTAGTTAGAATCATTCATTCCTCCATTCATTCACTCAATTTTATCATCAAAATATCTCTCGTTTCTTTACTCTTCTCTCTCTGCTCGCAAACCTTCCACTCTCAGGCTTCCACTACCTCTTTCTTAGACTACAGAATTATAATGGTCACACAATAGCTATTCTAACTTCCCCTCTTTTTCCTTTCCAGTTTGTAGTACACCTAGCTATCAAATTAGCATTCTTAAACACAAATCTGACCATGTTACCATTTTATCCCAAAATGTTCATTGGTAGTTACGTGATTGGAAAGATTATGGTATAATAATTTATATATTACTTTACCACTTTACAAACTATAAAGGAGAAAAATTATATCAAATTTGCACTAATTAAAACTGAATACACATAATAAGGCAGAAACATTATGCAACTTCTAGGGCTGTATCCCAAAGAGATCATACAAATGGGAAAAGGACCCACATGTACAAAAATATTCATAGCAGCTCTTTTTGTGGTGGCAAAGAATTGGAAATTGAGAGGATGCCCATCAATTGGGGAATGGCTGAGCAAGTCGTGGTATATGAATGTAATGGAATACTATTATGCTCTAAGAAATGAGAACGGGTTGACTTCAGAAAAACCTGGAAAGACTTGTATGGTCTGATGCTGAGTTAAGTGAGCAGAACCAAGAGAACTTCGTACACAATAACAGCCATGTTGTGCGATGACTAACATTGATAAACTTAACCCTTCTCAGCATTACAAGGATCTAAGACATCTCCAGAGGCCTCGTGATGGAAAATGCTATCCACATCCAAAGAAAGAACTATGGAAGTTGAGTCGCTATCATTTTTTTTCTCTTCTGTTGAGTTTTGTTTCCTCTTTCTGATGGTTCCTCCTATCGGTTTTAATTTTTACTTACAACTTCACTAATGTGAAAATATGTTTAATAGGGACGTAAATGAATAGCCTATGTCAGATTGTGTGCTGTCTTGGGGAGGGTGGTGGGGAGGAAGGGGGAGAAAAATTTTAAACTCAAAAGCATATGAAAGTGATTGTTGATAAATCAAAATAAATAAAATTTTAAAAAAGAAGCATCATGCAAGTTAAAAGACTTATTGAATAATATTGATGAACTAAACACTGATAGCCACTACTTACCCTTCACAACTCTAGCCCACCCTATAAGTCAAGACTAGCCATTATAACTGAAGTCCCAGGCTTAGTGATTCAGAATTCAGAATACAGCTGCGTCACTGTGTGGTTCACCAAAGGCACTGACTCTGACCACCACTATAAGGGTATAGTGCAATACCCTTATGAAAGGGTAGAGTGTAATACCTTATTATGTAGTAATACTACATAAGAGATGTAAAATGTTGATTCTGCAATCTATACAAAGAAAAGGAATTGCAGCTGTTAGGAAATCAGGGGCAGAAAATATGACAGTGTAGAAAAAAAAACCTAGAGATTAATAGGGTTCTATAGTCACGGAAGGGGCACTAAAAATCAATCCTCTCCTGAGAAAGATTCCCCTGAATAGGCAACCAGTCAGTGTCACTCCACACCCCAATCCCAACACATACAAGTTTAGGAGGCTAAGGATACCCAATCTAAGGCTTTTGTGCAAAATAAAAGCACTCAGCACATCAATGTAGGATTGTAGAGGGATCAGAGATATGAATGAAAGAAACTAGAGAAAAGCAACTAGAAAGGCAAAAAATGCAGAATAGTCTGATGATAACTCTAGCTCCCAAGCAATTAAATAGTGATCCTCATAAAGACACATGGATTTTAAAATTAAGGCCTTAAGATATTGAAAAAGTATTACACTGTGATTGTCAATGAATTGGAAAAACTACAATAAAAAGGGGAATTCATTAGATATTCCAGTGATTGTGGAATAAGAGCAAAAATCTCCAGAAATTTGAGAGAGAGAGAGAGAGAATGACATCTCAAAAATATAGAAGTGGAAGAAAATTTGACAGGAGAAGCAAAAGACAACCTCAAAATTTCTACACAAGTCAAAGCAACTAACCTGTAAGAAAGGATGTACAGATATTCCTTAATAATGATAGACATTGAGGCACGACCTGGAGGGGGCAGATCGGACCGTAGCCGAGGCCAGGCAAGGGAGGGGCCTCCTAGGGGCCTCCAGATGCCCGGGTCTCCCTCTCCTTCCTCCGAAGGGGCGCGAGACTGAGCATGGGGATCCAAGCCCACTCAAGGGGCGTTTCCTCATTGGAGGAAAAGAGCAAGAGCGGAGCTGGAGTCCTAGGCCCGGGCCGGCCGAGAGGACACGTGGGGTTCCGTTAACGTGCTCCAGAAGAGAGCGACGCGGCTGTTAAGAAAAGTCGCTTTGAAGGAGGCTCCGAATCCAAGCCCGGAGCAGCGGAGGGACGCCCCTATTCAGTGAAAAAATATGGATCTTTAACAACAAAACATATGAAGCATTCATGCCAAACAAAAGAAAGCTGAGCAAGTCATTCAAGTTGCAAAAATTCCAAGCAAGAAAAACACAAGAAAGTTAAATGAGAACAATTATCAAGAACAGACTAAACAATGACAAAATTATCTTTTGTTTCTGGAGTTCCATTGTTACAATAATAAATTTCATTGTAATGAAAGACCATCAAGGGACGAACAGAACATAAGAATCTCTAGATATAATATTAAAGAGTCAAGGGAAGGGAAGGAGGAAGCTACTTAGGCTCAATCTCATACTTCACTAAAACTGAATCAACATATTTTAGAATAGGAATAACACAACGAAGTAATGTAAAGTGGTTAAAAAGCCAGAAGACACAGAAGAGATCTGAAACTATATCCCATCCAGCCTGCAGGTAAGTAGAGACAGAAAAGTAATGTCATTTGCTCCTCAAAAAGTGTTGGATACCATAAGCAATTAAAATAAGAGAAATGGAAAAATGGGGGGGGAAAAAAGATGGGAAGGACTTAAAGGTGGGGCTCACTCTAAAAGGGGAAAGGAAAATGACCTGTTAAAGAATGTTTACATTGGGATGGAGGGAAGAAATCCATATATTCAGTAATTGATAGGTGCCTTACTATTCAGTTTCACTTGGGGGAAATGGGCACAACAATCTGGTACAGGTCAAGAAATAGAGAAATTGATTAATAATAATAATAGTTGGTAGGTATTACTTTGGCAAAGTGACCTACAGTCACACAGCTAGTAATTTTGGGGGATTGGATTTGAACTCAAGTCTGGCACTACAACATAGCTACTTCAGTATAAAAAAGGAGGCACACAATTCACAGAATCAATCAAGTAGTCTAATGTTTATAAACCCAAAGGTCCTAGCTACTGAGGAAAGAATTCATTATTAGGCAAAAATTCTCGGAAACACTGAAAACAGTCTGGAAGAAAAAAGATATAGTGCAGAATGAGAAATACGTTCTTTGAAGGAAGGAAGAAAAATGGAAAGGGAGAGGAGAGAAAGAAAAAGAGAACAAATATGTTTATTCAAGCAAAATATATTCCTGCATTGGCCATATTCAAAGAACGTATTTCTCATTCTGCACCCTGAATTCATCAACTCACTGTCAGGAGGTCAGTAGCCTGCTTCACTCAGTTCTCAGAAATTATTGTTAATTAATTAATACACTGTTTGGAGTTGTCAGGTTTTTCAAAATTGTTTTGGCTTTATAGTATTATTGATATTTAAATTGTTTTCCTGGCACTACTCACTTCTTTCTGCAAGTTACTTTAAATCTCTTTCTTTTATCAATTTTTTGGCAACATAATACTATTCTATTACATTCATTTTCCATATTTTGTTCATTCTGGAATAAATGGACATGCCTTAGTTTTCAGTTCTGTGATACCACAAAAAAGTGTTGTTGTTGTTGTTGTTTTGGTACAAATAATACCATTTCCTTTCTTTGATATCTTAGGGTATAGACCTAGTAGTGTTAATCATGAGTCAAATATGTATACTGGTTAGTAACTTTTATATTAATATTTGTGATTGTTGTTGTTGTTCAGTCAATTTCAGTCATGTCTGACTCTTTGAGACCCCATGTGGTGTTTTCTTGGCAAAGATACTGGAGTGGTTTGCCATATCCTTCTCCAACTCATTTTACAAATGAGGAAACTGAGGCTAACAGAATTTAATGACTTCTCCAGGACAACACAGCTAGTAAGTATCTGAGGACAGATCTGAACTCGGGAAGATTTCTTCCCGATCCCAGGCCTTGAACTCTATCCACTGTGCCGCCTAGCGGCCTCTTATACTAATATTACACAATATTGTACCAAGAGATGACAAACTAGATACTCGTAAGGCAAACTTGGAATATCTCTAGGAACTGAAACTGAATGAAGTGAGCTAAAATAGAGGAATAATTTATACAGTGACAACATTATAAAAGAAAATAACTGAATGACTTTAAACCTCTGATCAATACAGTAATAAACCACAAATCCGGAAGACTGAATAAAAATAAAATGTAACAGTGGCTACTCTACTACTTGGAGGCTAGGTATGTTATATTTTACCCTTGCCCCAAGATTCTCCTGCTCTCTTAAGGGGGTATAGACTTATCAGGCTCTCCATAAATACCTCCAGCCCCAATTGATACTGTTCCCTCTATTGTAGAAGGACAATTAACACTCAGATTACCTTTCACAAAGGAATATTTACTTCAAATTATGTTCACAAACATACAAACTCCACTAGTATGTGGAGCTAAATCCTCCTCCCCCCCAAAAAAAATAGCCTCCTTAGTCTCTATGAAGGGGAAGGTATTGGGTTCACAGCTTAGTTCATTTTTATATAGCATAGCCTAGTTCCAGCCTCCCTTGGTCTATATTCCCAGGCATCCTGGCTTCTTAGGGCTTCCGTGACAGGCTGACTGGCTGCAATGCCCCTTCTGGAATCCTGACTCCAAGATCACCATGGCTCAAACTCCCAAGTCCATTGGGGACTACCAGCCCTACCCCACCCCACCCTCCAAAAATAAGAAGCAGAGTAGAAAAAATATACATCCTTAGGCCCATTTCCCACAATTGGGATAAAAGGAAGTTCTTCCACTCTTAACTAGTTCAGTTTATGGTGTCCACGCTGCTGGTAAACTGTGATCTTCAACCTCTGAAAGCAGCAGGAAGGGACTGGGAAGAAAGAACCAGGCAGGAAAGGAGTAATTAACTATCTATCTCAGCCTAGCCAGTTTTAGAGATGCAACCTTTGCTAACCTGTTCTAAGCAGCCAATAGAAGGGGAATACTCATAACCATGTGGTAGAGGATCTGAGGAACCACAGGATCTCCATATTTGTCAATCTGGCCATGTGGAAAAGCCTCCTTGCATGTGTAACAGCATTATCTATAACTGAGAACAAAATGCAACTTAAATATACATCATTAGTGGAAAAAATCAATAAATTATAGCATAACAGTACAAAAAAGTTTAATTTTCCTCTTTCTTTAATATCTTTGGGGATATATACTTAGTTGTAGTATCACTGGGTAAAAGACTAGGCACAGTTTAGTAGAGAGATGAGCATAATTCCAAATTACTTTCCACAATAGCTAGACCAATTTACAATTCTAAAAGCATGTTATTGTATCTGTTTTCTTTGTTTTTTAATCAAACAATATAGAAAATTGCCAAAAAATGAGAAATTTTTTATTTTACTGGAGCTGGAATAAGAAAAAGGAGTTATTGATTAAGAATTAATTGATTCCAGTGACTTACCCAGGGTCACACAGCTAGTAAGTGTCTGAGGCCAAATTTCAAATCGGGGAGATGAATCTTTCTGACTCCAGGCCTGGCACTCTATCCACCATACCACCTTTCTGCCCCCAATTATTAACATTACCACACACTTAATATTTGTTTTGCACCGATGTACACGCAACACAATTGAGGTAGATAGAAAGCTGACCAGAGTCTTACCTTCAGGACAAAGATGACAAGAGACTAGTTTAATTCCCTCTGCCAGGAAATGAGAAGGAACTTTCATCACTTGGACTCTTCAATAAAATGATAGTGTCAGAGTTTGGAAACCTGCCATTTTTCCAAAAGTTTCTTTGGACTTTGTGGTTTTATTTTTTTTCTATATACATTTATGTATTTTTAGTTTTCAACATTTACTTCCACAAGATTTTGAATTCCAAATTTTCAACCCATCTTGCCCTTCCCCCCACCCCAAGATGGCATGCATTCTGAATACCCCTTCCCCCAGTTTGCCCTCCCTTCTATCTCTTCCCCCCCTCCGACCTTCTCTTATCCCCTTCCCCTTCCACTTTCCTGCCAGGGCAGGATAGATTTCTGTACCTCATTTCCTGTATTTGAAACATTTTTTTTTAAACACGTGTTTCTAAAACTCCCTTCCTCCCACCCCACCCACCCTCTGAAAAGGCAAGCAACTCAATACAGGCCATAAACATGCAGTTATGCAAAACACTTCCATAGTAGACATGTTGTGAAAAACGAACTCTATTACCCTTAATCCTATCCTGCCCCCCCATCTATTCTATTCTTTCTTTTGACCCTGTCCCTCCTCAGAAGTACTTCCTTCTGATTACCCCTTTCCCATTCTGCCCTTCTCTCTATCATCCCCCTGCTCTCTTATCCCCTTCCTCCCCTGTTTTCCTGTAGGGTAACACAGATTTCCATACCCATTTGAGTGTGTATGTTATTCACTCCTTAAGCCAAATTCTATGAGAATAAGATTCCCTCATTTCCTCTCAACTTGCCCTGTTTCCCCTCCACTGTAGTAAGAACCTTTTCTTGTCTGTTTTGTACAAGATGATTTACCCCATTCTACCTCTCCCTTTCTCCTTCTCCTAGTATAATCCTCCCTCACCCCTTAATTTTATTCACCCCTTCATCTTCAACTCACCATGTGCCCTCTATCTATCTATCTATCTATCTATCTATCTATCTATACATACATACATATAATTTTTTCTCCCTTCCCACTACCCTAATACTGACAAAGTCTCATGAGTTATAAATATCAACTTTCCATGCAGGAATGTAAACAGTTCAGCCTTAATAAGTCTCTTATGATTTCTCTTTCCTGTTTACCTCTTCATGTTCCACTTGAGTCTTGTATTTGAAAGTCAAATTTTCTATTCAGCTCTGGTCTTTTCATCAAGAATGCTTGAAAGTCCTCTATTTCACTGAATGACCATTTTTTCCCCTGAAGGATCATACTCAGTTTTGCTGGGTAGGTGATTCTTGGTTGTAATCCTATCTCCTTTGCCCTCCAGAATATTATATTCCATGCCCTCCAGTCCTTAATGTAGAAGCTGCTAAATCTTGTGTTATCCTGATTGTGTTTCCACCATACTTGAATTGTTTCTTTCTGGCAGCTTGTAATATTTTCTCCTTGACCTGGGAACTCTGGAATTTGGCTACAATATTCCTAGGAGTTTTCCTTTGGGGATCTCTTTCAGGAGGAGATTGGTAGATTCTTTCAATTTCTATTTTGCCCTCTGGTTCTAAAATATCAGGGCAGTTTTCCTTGATAATTTCTTGAAAGATGATGTCTAGGCTCTTTTTTTGATCATGGCTTTCAGATAGTCCAATAATTTTTAAATTCTCTCTCTGGGATCTATTTTCCAGGTCAGTTGTTTTTCCAATGAGATATTTCACATTGTTTTCTAATTTTTCATTCTTTTGGATTTGTTCTACTGTGACATGATTTCTCATTAAGTCACTAGCTTCCAGTTGCTGTATTCTACTTTTTAGGAAGTATTTTCTTCAGTAAGCTTTTGGACTTCCTTTTCCATTTGGCCAATTTTGCTTTTTAGGGCATTTGTCTCATTGGCTTTTTGGACCTCTTTTGCCATTTGTGTTAGGCTATTTATTAAGGTGTTATTTTCTTCAGTATTTTTTTGGGTCTCCTTTAGCAAGCTGTTGACTTGTTTTTCATGATTTTCTTGCATCACTTTCATTTCTCTTCCCAGTTTTTCCTCTACTTCTCTTACTTGCTTCTCAAAATCCCTTTTGAGCTCTTCCAAGGCCTGGAACAGATTCATATTTTTCTTGGAGGCTTTGGATGTAGGAGCTTTGACTTTGTTGTCTTCTTCTGGTTGTATGTTTTCATCTTCTTTGTCACCAAAGTAAGATAATATAGTCTGACTCTTTTTGCGCTGCTTGCTCATGATCCCAGCCAATTACTTGAGTTTTAAACTCTTTGTTAAGGTAAGAGTCTGCTTCCAATGTGGAGAATGTACTGTACCAAGCTTCTAGGGTTTGTACAGCTGTTTTCAGAGATACTTGTAGGGACCTGTAAATTTTCAGTTCTTCCAAGGTGGTATGATAAGAGTTGAGGTGTTTACTCTTTTCCTGGCCTGTACTCTGGTCTTGAGTGACCGGCCACAAGCAGTCTTTTCTCTCTTGGAGTTGTGAGGAGGGTTTCCTCTTCACCATCACTACAAGCTCTACCAGGCCAGAACTCCTCCTCACCCCAGGACTGCCATCTAGAACTGTGAACCAGATCCTCCCCCAGGCAAAGCAAGAGATTCCTGCCTCAGCACCAGCAAAGAGATCCCTGCAGTCCCCATCTGAACAGCCACTTGATTCCCCCTCAGTCTGTTGGCTGGAAGCTCAGAACACAGTCACAGCCCCCGACCGCACTCTGAGCTCTGAGCTCTGGAGGTGGCTCTGACCTAGCTCCTGTCTCAGCACCACAGAAACAGACTTTTCCCACTGACCTTCTAAGTTGTCTTTGGTGTTCGTGGAGTGAGGCGTCTGGAAAATGCCACAGCTGCCTGTGATTCTTTCCTCTGAGGCCTGCTCCAGGTTCACTGTGGCCTGCATGTTGAACTGCGCCCCTCTCTCCTCTTGTCACGATATGCCTTTCCGATCAACCATACAGACTGTCTTGGGCTGTAAATTTGTTTTACTCTGTCTTTTTGTGGGTTCTGCTGCTTTAGAATTTGTTTAGAGCCATTTTTATACTGGTATTTGGAGGGGTTTGGGGGAGAACTCAAGAAGGTCACTGCTTTCATGCCGCCATCTTGGCTCCGCCTCCCTGGACTTTGTGGTTTTAGAAAATCAGGAGACTGACTTTCTGGTCAGATACACCAGTGGAAGAAAAATTTTTAAATGTAGAGCTTTGGGAGTTCCAATTTCCTCAGTTCTACTCCCAGATACCTTTTTCCCCTAAAATGCATGCTGGATGCCAGCAAGAGACCACACCTCACTTGAGTCAAACCTAACTTTACCGACATGCTCAGTTTCAGGGAAGCCAGGTTGGGACATATTTAAAGGCTATCTATGAACCAGAAAGCCAGGCCATGGGGAGAGAAGGAGAGAGATTTTCTTTAATTTAAATAAACACCACTTTGTCAAAGGAGAAAGAGAGAGAGAAAAAGAATCAACCAATTAACAATATTAAGGACTTAGTATATTCCAGGTTTTATTCAAGTCACTGGCTTTAAAAGAGAAAAGAGTTGAATCCCTCAGAGAATTTACATTCAAATGAGGCAATCAACCTATAAGTAAGCTAAACGGCTCAGTGGATAGAGTGCTGGGCCTGGCCTCAGGAAGATCTGAATTCAAATTCAACCTCAGACACTTATTAGCTGTGTGACCCTGATTATGTCACTTAACCTTTGTTTGCCTTTATCCACTAGAGTAGGAAATGGCAAGTCACTTCCGTATCTTTGCAAAGAAAACTCCATGCACAGTATTGGTGTGCTATGTTTCACAATGTCAAGTAGAGTCACACAGGATTGAAGAACAACGATAAACCTATAGACTTAGAGATTTACCTTGAGCAGGGCTGAGGAATCTACTCTTTAAGAAAAGTAGCCTGCACAGAACTAAGAATTTTTTTTTCATTACATTTTTAAATGGTTAAACACACACACACACACACACACACACACACACACACACGCACACACACGAAGAATATTTTGAGATATGTGAAAATTATATGAAATTCAAATTTCAGTGTCCATAAATAAAGTTTATTTGGAATACTGTCATGCTCATTCATTTACACATTGTCTATTATTGCTTTCATGCTACAAAAGCAGAATGAAGTAGCTGCAACAGAGACCACATGTGGTACTCTCATCATTTCACACTGCTGCTCAGCAAACTACAAATCACTGTGATGAGGTTTTTAACTCAGCAGCATTTCAAGCGCATGCATACTAACTTACTGAGACATTTTCTTTCATTTATTTATTTTCATTACTAGTGCACACCATGTTAAAACAAGAAAAGAAGAGGAAAAAAAATTTCTAATGTAATTTTTTGAGCTACAGGCTGAGATTGAAATTTTGTCAATGACATCCACTTCCAGCCAAAATTATGGAACATTGAGTAGCTTTTGCTGTAAATTTGGTAATGTTTCTTAAAGAATTAAAACTAAAATTACAAGTGAAAACAGTTCTTAAATGCAAAACTAATATTACAATAAAATTGATTCCATGTTGACTCTCATTGTTTGAATCACAAGTAATTTATACACTTCCTGTGATGTCAATGTTAAAATGAACAAAAAGCAAGATTTCCATTCCTGCACAACTTAGCAATGAATAAATTTTCAGAGCTCAAACTACGGTTACAGGAACTTTTTTCAGACCTTGACCCAAATGCAAAAGAAATTTCCATACTTGAGAATCCATTTAACAGTGTAATTAAGGAATTCCCATATAAACTTCAATTAAAAATGATTCATCTTCAATTAAATGACATACAAAAAGCCAAATAAGTAGAGAATCAAATTCTGTAGATGCCTTTCAAGTAACACATATACTAAATTAATATCATCAGCTCATAGATTGACACTACTATTTGGCAGTATCTGTGTGAAAAGATTTTCAAAGATGAAATACATAAATTCTTATTACAGATCAGCATTGTTGTTGTTTAGTTGTTTTTCAGTGGTGTCTGACTCTTCATCAGCCCATTTGGAGTTTTCTTGGCAGAGATACTAGATTGGTTTGCATTTCCCTCTCCAGTTCATTTTACAGATGGGGAAACTGAGGCAAGCAGGGTTAAGTGACTTCTCCAATCTAGTAAATGCCTGAGTTCAAATTTGAACTCGAGGAGATGAGTCTTCCTTACTCCAAGCTCTGCACTGTATCCACCACACCACCTAGCTGTCCTTACATTAACAGGTGAACATTGGCAATTAATTTTGATGATAGACAAGACAAACTTTGAATCCCAACTAATCAAAATTTTAGCCCACAATAAATATTAGATTTTCATTAGTAGATTATATTACAAAAATATTCCATTCTATTATCATTATTATTATTACTATTATTATTATTATTATTATTATTATTATTATTATATGCTGAATTTCACCATTAAAATTTTGTGGAAAGTTGTTTTCTCTTTTGTTATATATGTATCTAGGTAATATTCTGATTTTGCCTCTTAGCTTATATGTCCTATATATTTATTATCTCTCCATTTACAGAAAACGTAGTTTGTTCTTCCCTGGCCTAGAGTACTGGAATGGTAAGTGACTAGATCACCATAGACAGAATGTGTCAAAAGTGAGACTTGAAAGTAGGTGTTCCGAGATCGTAGGTCAGCTTTCTATCTACCTCACTCCTGTTGCCTGTCATAAATACAAAATACACACAAACAAATATTAAATGTGTGGTAATATTATCAATTGGGGCAGTAAAGTGGCACAGTTGATAGAGTACTGGGCCTGGAGTCAGGAAGATATTTCCCTGAGCTCAAATCTGGCCTCAGACTCTTACTAGTTAGGTGACTCCAGAGAAGTCACTTCACCCTATCTGCCACAGTTCCTCATTTGTAAAATAAGCTAGAGAAGGGAATGGCAAACCACTTCAGTATTTTTACCAAGAAAACCTCAAATGAGGTCACAAAGGGTTGGACATGACTGAAATGACTAAACCACAATAACAATATAAACAATTGGAGTAGAAAGACCAGGAAAGACCTCTTATCTATAAGTAATATAAAATATGTCAATTGAATCATAAAAAAAAAAATCATAGACTGAGAACCAGAAGGAGTCATAGAGGTCATCTTTTTGAGCCTCCCTTCAATTTGGGAGCTAAAGTAGAATTTTGAACTAAAACTGACAAAGCTTTCAATCTAGCAAAAAAAAAATCAAGTTAATGTAGAGAAATTCTGTTCAACAGTATACTCATCCTTTCCTTTAGTAATAGGAAACAAAAAGGACATATATTTTATTCAACTTGTGACTCTAGTATGAAAGAAAAGCATGACTCAGGAGCCAAGATACTGAAATGTACAGCACCTTTTCCCAAAATCTGAAAGCAGTTTGATCTGAATTATTTTTGTTATGTGTGATTCTTTTTGTCTCTCTGTCTCTGTCTCTATCTCTTTCTACCCAACTCCTCCCCCTCCTTTTTTTTTTCCTACTCCCCACCAGATTTCCTGATTCTGTGGTACTTGTCAGTAACAGAAGCAAAGAGATCAGGAGTGCATTCCCATAAGTTATTCAAACCAGGCTGAATCAGGAAGTTTGTTCTCCCAGGGATCTCAGTCTAGTTTTAAAACCAGTTCAGTTTGTATTTAGCCCTATAAGCTTTGAATAAACATCCAAACTTTTTAGATGCTACTTACCATCTACTTTTCTGCCAACTTTCATGACTTGTGACTAGCTCCAAGAAGGCTAGATAACACAATCTTTGTTTTGGAGTGACCACTTGCTTACTACCCACAGAACATTCCCTGACTTGAAGCCAGGTTGGGGACCATTGCAGTACTGGTGGGAAAAAGAATAATATGAACAAGAAACAGAAAGCTCTTCCTCTCTATATTGTATCACTCCATACTCTCACGACTCTTATCAAATCACTAAGCTCTTGTCAAATCACTAAGTATAAATTTAGACATGATTTGTTTCTCACATTTTGATAGCCTTTTATATTTTTAAAAATTTTAGGAGTAGCTAGGCAGCACAGTGGCTGGAGCACCAGGGCTGGGGTCAGGAAGATTCATCTTCATGAGTTCAAATCCAGCCTCAGACACTCACTAGCTATGTTACCCTGGGCAAGTTACTTAGCTGTTTGCCTCTGTTTCCTTAATTGTAAAATGAGCTGGAGAAGGAAATGACAAACCACTCCAGAATCTTTGCCCAGAAAACCTCAAATGGGGTCACAAAGCATTGGAAATAACTGAACAACAACAATTTTTAAATTTAATTTTTTAAGCTACAGGCAGCTGGTGGTGCAGCAGAGTTCCAGGCCTGGAGTCAGAAAGGACTGACTACACAAATTGATATTGTTAAGCAAAATTAGAGAGGCAGTATGGGGTATTATATAATGAGTTAGCCAAGAGTCAGGAAAACATGGATTCAAGTCCTGCCTCTTAACTATACCATGTGATCCTGGAAAAATCACTTAATTTTTGAAGGCTGTAATCGGTGCTTTAAAGCAGTAAGTTGTAGGACAGTTGACAATCTGAGTTAATAAAGGAGCATCCTACCCAAGAAATTCAGTAAATCAATAAAATCACTGGTTGAAGACTGTTTAAAAAGTAATATAAATCAACATGTTTGCCATATCTGACATTTGCCTATTTATGAACTGATAGTTTACCACCCCTCTCTCTCTCCACTAAGATGGAGATGTATTTCACTCTCAATCCTCTGAAGCTACCTTCTAAAAATTGTTCCCCCTCCAACTCTTGATGTGAGTGTAGCAACTAGCAGATTGATAACTTAGTAGGTAAATCCTAGGAAATAGACGCTAGGTGACTTACCCAAGATTACATAACTTATAAGGTCAGGTATGGTATTTGGACCCAGGTTATCTTGAGTCAAAAGCCATCACAGTGCCATGGACCTTCTTGATAAAAACCCCCTCCTACAAAATGCCACAAGCTGTTAGAAAAGAGTAACCAATCAATATATCAATAAGCATTTATTAAAGATGTACTCATGACATTAGAGGCACTGTGCTCATGGATGGCCTTAACCTAACACAGAAATGCATATCAAGTATTTGTTTAATTTAATAGAGAGAGGAGCAGCTAGGGGGTACAGTGAATACAGCACCAGAACTGGCCCTAGAGTTGGGATGACCTGAGTCAAATCAGGCCTCAGATACTTACTAGCTGTGTGACCCTGAGCAAGTCACTTAACTTCAGTTGCCTCCAAAGCATAGCCCCAGAAGGGAGGGGCACCGAAGAATGTCTATATATATTCAATAACTACAGCAATGCTAGCAAAGCAACAGAAAATATTGCTATCAATACTTCAAAAATCACTCATGAGCTCCCCTTGGTGGTTAAAGTAGTCATAAATTTTTGTGTGATGTTAGGAAACTACGCTCATAATTTTATTGCATACTTCAATAATTGCCTTTACTGTCTGGAATGGTGAAGTTTGGCCTTTTAATAAATATACCTTGACACCAGTGATACATTGAAAAAAAGAAAAGAAAACATATAACTTTCACTTTTAAGTGATAAAAAAATATTGACTAGTACGAGACAAAGCTGGAGTAGAATAGTACTTTATAGGAGAGGCTGGCGTCTGTACTCTTTAGATATTTTTCCACCACTTGAGAAGGAACCTAAATGTGCTATGCTTCAGAGTTCTCCACTGACAGTTTTCATAGTACTAGTCCCAATAAGGATAAGTCCATCAGTCTTTACTAATGACACTTGGAGTCAATAAGCTTAGCTTTGCCATTTAGTAACTATTCAACCTTTCTCTCTCTGGGCTTGTCCTAAATAATGCCTGAGGTTCCTTTCAGCTTTACCATTTTATCATTCCAACCCCACAGACAAGCCAGATCATTCTCAAACAGGTAAAAAGAGCACTTCCCAGTACAGTAAAACAGCAGTATTAGAGGTAAGAAGAGGATAATCAAGGGGCAAATCCACAAAATGGTCTAGGTTGAATAGAGTTGACATGCTTGTGCCAAAAGTTTCTTGATAGACCTTTATTCTCCCATCTGCTTGCCTGAGTATATAGGAGATTCAGCTTTCAAAGTTTATGGGTACAAACAATATTTTTTCCTATTTCATTCCATCTCTTTCTGTTCTAGGAAAGATTAAAATTAATTAGAATTAAAATTCTATCAGAGATTAAGAGGCTTCCTAGCATTATAGAGTTTACAATGTGGTGGTCTGGGCAGGGGTTGGTGGATGTATAGAAGACCCATATGATAGAAAGTAAAATAATAATTGCTAGCATTTATATAGCACTTTAAGATTTGCAAAGTACATGTTATCTCATTTGCTTCTCGTAACAGCCCTGTGAGAGAGGTGCTATTATCATGCCCATTTTACTAATGAAGAAACTAACTGAGGAATTGAGAAGTAAAGTGGATTTTTCAGGGTCACACAAGCTCATAAGTGTTTGAAGCAGAATTTGAACTCCTCTTTCCTTGACTTCAGGTCTAGCACTCTAGCTACTGCGCCACCTAGCTGCCTAAAATATGGCAAAAGCATGAAGCACAAAAGAAGTTCCAGGTCCAGAAAGAAAGGTTATTTTTTTATTCCCCTGGGGAACTTAGAGAAAGCCCCATAGAGAGGATGGCATTTCATCTGCATTTTTCAAGTGAATAGAATTAAAACAGTTGGAAATGAACAGGATGGGTAATTCCACAGGAAGAACATTTCAGCTACAAGGAACTTTGTGAGAGAGAGAAACAAGAGACAGAGATCAACAGAGACAGAGAGAGGTTAAGAGAAGATGCAAAGAGGAAAATTCAGAGCATCAAACCAGTGCTCAGGTCAATAGCAAATAAGTATGAAAAGGGTCATCAGTTGCCTAAGTGCCCAATAAGAAAATGATGTGGGCACACAGAGGGGCATATATGGGATAGGGCCCTTCTCTGTTAAACAAATTCTCACACCAGTCAGTTTCCAAGTTTTCTTCCACCACATTTTCTCTCCAACCTCTGCCTTCCATTCCATTCACATATTCAAAAACTTTGCATAATAACATTTTTCATTACTAGACTTTGTTGCTTTAATGTTTTATTTATTTCTCAGCTTCCCCCTGTCCAAGTCTCATTTTTCTTGATTTAACCTGAGAAACAAAACATTAAAGCAACAATACCAACTCACTAATGCTATCAACAAAGTCTAGTGTCACTGGATCAAAGAATATATGTTAGAGAGTAAGGTGTAAGAAGACTGGCAAGGTAGGAGAGGGCTAGGTTATGAAGGGCTTTGAATGCCAAACAGAGTGTTGGATATTTATTTGCTCATGGAAGCAATAGGAAACCACTGGAGTTTATTGAATGGGGGTAGAGGTGGGGTAAGGGGAGAGTTACAATCAGACCTGCATCTCGGGAAAATCACTTTAGTGGCTGAAGGAAGGATGGATTGAAGTGAGAAGAGATCTGAGGCCTGCAGACCCACCAGCAGGCTGTTGCAGTAACCAAAGCATGAGGTGACAATGGCCTGTACTAGAGTGGTGTCCGTGTCAGAGGAGAAAAGGAAGCCCTCTACAGCAATAAGGAAGGAAGGTTGGAAAAGGAACAGCTACAGGAGAAAGA